ATTTCGGAAACCTTAAGTCTAGATGTTTAGGGATCGGACATGTTCTATTTTGAAAATCTTGTCGTACGGATTTTACAGACCTCCCACGATGACAAGTAACAGATAAGCAAATTATCTCCTGATAATGGGTGTACATAATGAATGAAATTCCAGAACAATTAAGGCTTAAAGGTAAACATAGTAGTAAGATGGGGTAAAAATGATGTTGAAAAACTTTACAGGAGTCCCAAAGTTGTGTTTTGTTCGAATCCAAAATTATTCCGAAAATGATTATGTCACGGTATCGAGTTGTTCTCTGATTACACGAATTAGAGGAGGGGAGGTAGTTTATAGGCGGCTGGATAGCTTAGTCAGTAGAGCCGCAGTACGGTAATCCGAGGGTCCCAGGGTTGAGTCTCGTTCAGGCTTCACATAAATATATATACATTTTTTAAATGGAGGTGTTTCAATCATTACTCATTGCGAAAAAAGTATTTAGTCAGTAAAGTATGTAAAGGATCAATGTTAAGGGATCCTTTTTAGGGGAAACCTCAGATGATTCTTCCAGTATAGAATTACCGTCTGAATGCAAGTGTTGTATAGCTTTGAAAATTGTACATCTTATCTCTAATTAAAGCTGTACAACTAAATCCTACTGTCTTTTGGGGCCTTTACCGTTCTAAATTCAACATTAAAGCAAAATAAGATTTAAAACAAATGTACCCCTTGACTCACATAATTGGTAGTTTTGTTATAGACACTTGCCATAAATGGGTACATGGAAGTGTTCAATTAAAGAAAATTGAAAAAAAAAGAAAAATAATGAAGACTTTGTGATAAATAGTTTTCAAGATAATGAGATATTTAAGGCCCCTGTGACCTAGAACTTAGAACTAGATACCCAAAATCAATAGGGGTCATCTAATAGGTATTACCAATCAATATTAGAAATATGAAGACTTTGTGATAAGTAGTTTTCAAGATAACAAGCGGAAACCAAACTAACAATTAAGAACCCTGTGAACTTTATCTTCTCACCCTAAAATCAAAAGGTTCAATTACTTGTGATAAAAAGTCTTAAAGAAAATATGTGGAAACCATTCTGACACTTAAGGCCCATGTGACCTTGACCTTTGATCTAGTGACCCCAAAAGCAACTGGGGTCATGTACTAGTTATGACCAATCAATATGTGAAATATTAGACTTTGTGATAAATAGTAACCCAGATTATAAGCGGAAATTATATTACTATTAAAGGCACCTGTGACCTTGACCTTCACCTAGTGACCCCGAAATCAATTGGGATCATCTACAGCTTTTGACTAATCATTATGTGAAATATGAAGACTTGGAGATAAATGGTAACCAAGTTAATATGCGGAAATCATATTACCATTCAAGGACCCTGTGACCTCGACCTAAAAACTTAATGACCCCAAAATATGTGAAATATGAAGACTTTGTGATTGATACTTTTCAAGATAATCAGCGGAAACCATTCTGACATTTAAGACCCCTGTGACCTTGATCTTTGACCTAGTGATCCCAAAATCAATTTAGGTCATCTACTAGTAATGACCAATAACTTTGTGAAATATATAGACTTTGTGACGAATAATTTTCAAGATAATCCGCTGAAACCATTTTGACATCTTAAGCCCCTGTGACCTTGACCTTTGACCTAGTGACCGCAAATCAATAGGAGTCTTCTACTTTTTTTGATTAATAATTATGATAATCAGCGGAAACCATTCTGAAATTTGAGGCCCCTGTAACCTTGATCTTTGACCTAATGATCCCAAAATCAATTTAGGTCATCTACTAGTAATGATCAATAAATTTGTGAAATATGAAGATCTTGTGATGAATATTTTTTAAGATAATCAGCGGAAACCACTTGCTTTAAGTTTTAAGATTTGGTACATTGTTTCGCCATGATCAACTGTGAATATTGAATAAGGACAAACAGCTATGTCACTGTGACAATGGTCACAAAATGCGTGTCCACTTAATCACTATAGAGTGATTTTATAGTGAAATTGGTGAAAACCTAATTAAGGCCATTTTTACTTTGCCTGTGACCTTAGATCCAAAATACGATTGACATATACACCGTTACTTCTTGGCCGCTTCTTCTCTTTAATGTTAATTTTTTAAATACGATAATTATAATGGTAATACAATAGTGTATCATAAAAGTTAAGAATCACCGATATTTTACATGGTCAAACTTGAACATTATTACTTAAAATATTGACTATCAGCGCCGTGAACATATATTCAACATTAACTAAACTGTATGTATGTAATCGGACACACGTTTAGTATTTCTTTTCTTGGCTTGACATTTAACCCATGTCTATTATGTTGTTCAGCTGTTCAATATTATTTATTTGTCGGACTTACCAGCATGAATAAATGCCAGTTTCTCACTATTTTAGTCTCAGAAGCATAACTGATTTACAATAAACAAAATAAATCAAAAAGTTTACGACCACTTTATTGAAATAAAATAATCTTAACATAATGCACACTGATATAATATTAATATATACAATAAAATAGAATAGCTTGTAAAGTATCCATAGACCAAAACAACAACAAACAAAAAAACAATATACATTTTTGTAGATGTATGTACAAACTAAACTATTTGTTAATCAGAATTATGTAATATTATATGATATTGAGTAATTTAGATGCATCAACACTATTATCTGACAAATATAATGTTTCACATTTGAAGAGCAGCTGCAGTATTACAGACAACGTTTATTCCATAGAAGCTGTTATGCGCCGTATACAGCTTACGATGTATTAAGCTTATTCTTGAGTTGTATAGTTCGATCATTATAACATCGTAGACAGCTTAATCCAAATATAGCTTAACGCTACCTGTATACGTGAAGATGCTGCATACCGCCGATCGGTAATCATCATTATGTCCTCAAGGAAACGACTACGAGTGCGATCACATTTACGTATACAACATCTACGACAACGACAATGACTATGACCACTGGAATAAAGATTTCTACTTTGATGTTCACGAGTACAGCTGCTACTACTACCACTTCAGCTCCGACTACCTTTATAACTACGAGTACAGCTTTGACGTAGACTACGACGACGACGCATAGCTACGACTTTTCCAACAAAGAGTACAAACAGGACTACGACAACTACCAAGATATAGAGAATAACATGCTACTGTCTTTTGATATCAATTTTATCAGGCGAGGCTGATATGGGCTAGAAAGGGCGAGGCTTGCCGAGCCCTTTCTAGCCCATATCAGCCGAGCCTGATAAAATTGATATCAAAAGACGGTAGCATGTTTTTCTATTTATCATGTAACACATAATAACTGTCAAAATAACAAAATAATCTACTTTTAAATAGCGAATTTCGTTAAAAAGGGGAATTTTTGCTCAAAGAAATAATTCTAGAAAACAAATTCCTCCGCTCCTGACATTTAGAATTTGTAATTGGCGGCCATTTTTTCTTTCGACTCGGATAAAAGATACAACAGAATGTAGGCCTAATACGATAACAGTCTTACCTTAATTTAAACATCGATCCAAAAATCCGCTTAGAATCACATAAACTAAACTTTACTGCAATTTTTGTCTTGAATTGTCAAATTCAAAAGTTCTCAAAGAAAAATCAAATCGGCAGTCAAACACAAGCTACACAAACATGCGTCTTATTTTTTATTCGAAACAATTTGTTCTCTTATTAAATTATGATCCGGCGAAATAAAGTAAACATTTACAAGTTCTCAAAGAAAATCGCCAGCCTGTTTGTAGCTTAAGGTCTTCAGCGTACCCGTTTATATATATGACATGACATGAACGCTGAAGATAACCCCGTAGGGAAAGTCCACCAATAATCGTGCCAGGAATCTGACACGCTCGTATTTATTTATCGAACATGCCACTAAGTAAAGTGAAGCATACCTTGATAAAACGATATATAATCTGTTGATAAGCCAATAATGGGCAGATAAAAATCTTATTAGGAACATAAACTACCTAATAGTTTCCGACAGGTAAAAATTTCGGCACTTGGCCGTGTTTGACCACGTGATTACGAGATTGACCTTTATGAACCCATGTGCCTCCAATATTTTTATAGATTACTTTTTTTTTAAGATGTTGAAAAAGGTTATTTACTGACTGTTATATTCAATAAAATCATAATTCAATACTAAAAAAATTACGAAAATAAATAAAAACATTATCTTGAATAAAAATATCGAAATCATGTCAACATAATGTTCTAAATATAGTACGCAACTCTATTCAAATCTGTTCCCGCGATTGACGTCATACGAGATCTCGCGTGGCACATGAATGTCATGGCCGACTGTAGTCGGCGAAAATTGATGTTTTACAGTTAAATAGGCAATTTTAATGACGGTATTGATATTTTATTACTTGAATTGGTTAAGAACGATATTTAAATAATTGTTTTACCGTAAAATGCACAAGAATTGATCGGGTCAAGTGTATTTGCAAGTGAAAAACAAGAATAAATCAACTTATGTTATTCTGGTTAGGTTTCGTAACGGGTCTAATCCAAAACTTTAATGCCGCATCTGATGAAAAACAAAAATGTTAAAAAGCGGCTTATAAAGTTTTGGAAGCCAGAACTAGCCTGTTTGTTATGATTACATGTATAGTATGACGTGAACATCGATGATGTCATTTGCAATATAAATTATGACGTCACTTTATTTAGTTGGTGCAAAAACTATTCGCTATCTAATTTATTCGTAATTGAAATCCAAATAATAAATAAATAAATAATTTTCGCATATTGATTCAAGACTTGTAAGGGTATGAGATGACATTGTAGAATTCACATGCTGATGAAAATTTATGCTCAAATATAAGCAATTGAATAAAGTCCGTTAAAATGGGCGGGGCTAATTTTTGATATCAGGCTACTGACGTGATATCAAAAATAATTATCAGGCAAGTGTTATCGGGCAGTTACCATAGCAGTTGCATGATAAAATGACTTATCAAACTATGCCGACGACTTCACTCACGTCTTTGACTAAGTCAACAACGACTTTTACAACTACAATTTGTTATATTAGACGACGACTTCGACTAAGAATACGACTTCTTCGACTTGTAGTAAGCCTACGACTCCAACGTCGACAGGGGCTTCTACGACTAAGAGTCCGGTCACAACCGTGACTTTTACAACAACAAAAACACTAAGGGTAATTTTCTGATCATCACTAACCTCCCTGACCAAACCTTCAAGCTTTAATATATGAAGACTGCAGCCATAGATTGTTTGCTATGGTTAAAGTGAACTTAAATCTTTGATCAACTGACCTTAACATTAAATCTTTGATCTACTGACCTAAACATATGCAATGTATACAGTATACGTAAACTGTATACATTGTCAACTAACGAATACAGCTGACCGTGAGCTGTATATACATGTACGTTTTCAATCAACGTATATTATAACCATGTAATTTGGTATCTTTTACTGTTATGCGTTCGCTTCATACGTCATAAGCTGTATATGGTGCATCACGGCCAAACTAAACGAAACATACATAAAGTAAACATCCATCTAACAACGTATGTTATAAAAATGCATAAATTAAGAGCTAGACAAGAGTAAGGCGATCAAAGGGACATAACCACCAAAGTAAAATGTGAGATACATCAACTGATTTTACATAACATATTTTTATATATTATACAGTAAGTGCGCTTCCCGCGTAAGGTACGTGAGAGTTGGTTTAATTAACATAAAAGTAGAGTTTTAAAAGAAAGAAAAAAGGTTGATAGCAAATATATGACTGACTGGAAATCATCATCAAATTCCCATCCTGAAAAAGAACAATTTATCTATATTATATACAAGTAGTTATAAATATATCTTTTTTTTATCTCAAAGGTTTAGTAAATTTTCTTTAAAGGCTACTGACATGAACGGTACTAACGATTTTACTTAAACATTAGTATTAGCTCCTCGAATCAATCTCTCGCAGAAACGTAATATGGTTCAAGTGATGAAGAAACACAGCCAAGGTACCTATACGTTACTGAGATGATGTATGGAAATGACACCTATAGGGATCAAGCCATTGCTGAGATATTGTTGCAGTGATGACAGAAATCTAAAAGATACTCTTAACAGCAGGTAGGTTATAAAGTGTGTTGTTATATTGATATTACGCAAAGAAAGGTTCATTGCTCAGAACTTACTGTCCAATTACTAAAGGTGTTTTCTGGTAATTTTGGTTTCTCCAGTTACATATTTTTATGTGGGTTAAAAGTGACACCTACAGAATAATCCATGAAAATGATAAAATATCTCAAGTTTGAAACAAATAAAGGGATTTTGTGTTATACAAATAGACATTCATTTCTAAGCGTCACGCACGCTAAATATCTACCCGGTGTGAAAATGTTACAGGCCTCCAAACGAGTTTAGTCAAAGAGAAAATGCTGTCGTTGTATGAAGAAATATGAGCCGCGTCACGACAAAACATAGTGGGTTTGCGACAAGCATGGATCCAGACCAGCCTGAGCATCCGCGCAGTCTGATCAGGATTCATGCTGATCGCTGTCAGTTTCTCCACTTGTAATAGAGTTGGTAAGCGAACAGCATGGATCCTGATCTGACTGCGCGGATGCGCAGACTGGTCTGGATCCATACTGGTCACAAACCCACTATGTTGGTTTTGTCGTGACGCGGCTCATATAGTTTCGAAGCTTCCGATGATGGCAGTAACGCTTTAAATGTGGCTTACATTCGGATAAAAGATCAAGATCACTGTTTTAATAATTTCTTTATTCTTTGCTTACTTTTATACAAAATTGAGGCGTCAAACTATCATTTGTAATATTTTCTTAAGATAGAAAAGATATTAATGCGATAGATGTAACTGATACGCAGTTACATGACAAAATACTAAGACCAAATTGCACACTAAATTTTTTATGTTTATGCATGTAAGCCTGATTTATTGTGTCACTAACGGTTAGTTTATACTAATTTATTTTAGTTCGGTTGAGTTGGTACATGAAGCTATAAACTTATTAAAACACTCTCGAATCCGTCGTTCCTGTAACAAACCAATACTAAGCTATGAGTGTAAAGTTTCTTGCTCATGGAAAAAACAGCTTGCCCCTGACGAAGGTTTAAACCCACACATCCATCAATCCTTAGATTACTAGTCTGACGTGTTAATCACTTGCCCACGCCGCGCCTCTCGCAATCGTCAATCACTGTTGAGTTCATATGCATAAGGGTTTTCTTAATATTTTTATAACGGAAAATCACCTTAAATTGATGGACTCTGCTCGAGTCTAAATTACTTTTAATATGTGGCAATAAAAAAGATTTTTTTTCTATGCACCCACAGCATTAAAAACTTTCTATCATGAGAAAAACATTACAAATGATAGTTTAAAGGATCGTGCTAAAGATACATATATTGAGTATATAGATAGGAAGATTGAAGACTAATTGTTTTAAAAAAAAATTGAACCTTGTATGACCTTAGAATATGATAACAGAAACATTTCAGCGAAATACATTGTATACAATGACAACGGTGTGTTAATATAGTTTTGTTACATTTGTCTCTGTGTAGTCGTATTTGAATTTGTTTTAATTAATTTATTCAGATTATCTGTAATAAAATTCGTTTAAGAATGGAAATTTAAGTTACCAAAATTTCCTCTTCAACAACAATATCTCCGTCAATTAAGTCGTTATTGCTTATCCGAAGCTCTCTTGTCCAAGTGCTTAAGTGCGCCCATACTATAGAGAAAAAGAAAACTGATGGAAATGAATTGTTTATAAAGCTCAGTTCTAAAAAACAAGGAATCATAACATAACTCTTATTACATGTTTATAACATAATGTTGTTTTTGTTTTGCTATTGTTGTTGTTGTTATTGTTGTTTTTGATCAATTATACAAACAATTTAATACCTTAAATATTGATTAAAGTTTTTTATCAACGAATTCCTTGTCATAATATTTTTTTTAAAAACAACAAACAAAAAACGTCAAGTCACCACAGACCTGGACCTGCGACGTTTTGCATCTGCCGGACAGACGCTGTATGCGGACTCCATCCCCTCATCAGCATGGGCGGCTAAATGACAGTGATATAGCCAAATGCCAGGATTGTATCCAGTCATTTCAATAGTTGCAGCAACTTCAGGGAAGACTTCCGCCACATCTCTTCTTTGAGTGACTATTGTTCTACGAACGTAAAGCTGTCCATGAAAGTGAACAGTATGAACGTCTTCTACCGACCCTACGCCAAAAAGGTACCAAGCAATATTTTGATTCACGCAGAACTCAATAAGAGGTTGATTTCCATAAATATAGCCGTTAATAGAATGGAAGAGGTTGCTTTCAATGAAATCTCCATCACTTGCTTGTGCATCTGTGACGCCTACAAAATTTTCATCCCGGAGATGACTTAAGTTTTCATCCCAAATCACGAAGGCAGATGCAAACTCCTTCACTACATTGTCTTTCCTATTCCCTGCAACATCAAGCTTGCCACGTTTGCAAATTATCATTGTTCCCAGAAGCCCACTGTAAGCATCATTTAAAGGATTTGTTCTTGAGGTATATAATGTGCCTATGCAATTAGGCTGGTCGGGAGATGGGCCGGACCTTTCAGGTATGAAATAACGATAAGTGCGTGTTTGATCTTGATCAGTTGAAGGAGCATTTGTTATTGGAGTCCCGTCTTCGAAAACGAGTTGTTTCGGGACAATATTGAGAGAAACATTGACAAAATTATGAAGAACTATTTCAATAGTATCTCCAACTGCCCCTCGTATCATTGGTCCTAATAAACCTAGATGCAATTCATCAAAACTTCGGCTCTTCTGCGTAGTGAAAGTGCTATCTGTAAATTCCCTATAGACATACTTATGATATTGGGTTCCAAGAAACGGGGTATCGTTTCTCACAAAAATGTAGCCTGTACTGAAAAGGGCAAAAGGAAAGGGCCTTAAGATATGTGTAAAAATATTTACGACTAAGTAAAATACTAGATATTAAAAAACAATTATGGTGTATTCAAGCCATATCGTAATTTACATTAAAGTGCTTTCAGATTATTTACATGTTAGCAATATAATGTTAAATATAACGTATAAGTGTTTACTACAATATGTTAATATGAAAAATCTTGATACATTTCAAGTGTCGCTATCGGCATAAAACTGCAAACAACATGCCAGTGTATGAGTTTGCTGATAAAAAAAATGCAACAAATATGCCAGTGACTTTTCATTAGATTATTTCAAGTCGTTTTTAAAAACGCTCTAATAAGTTGTAAACAATTCTAAAAGATGTATGTATCTATAAGTAGCTTTGGGTTCACAATACGTATGATAAATATGCAAAACTTTGCCGTATGATGAAATAAACCACATTACACTAATCGAGTAGAAATTTTAGCATTTCAAAACCATTTTTAAATTTAAATATTCATGAATTTTCGAAAAAATTTTG